CATTTCTCGATTGCTACTCGTTTATCACCAGATCGCTCTCAAAAGGACGACCAGATCAAGACATCTTTTATCACGCCTTTCGACGCCCTCTCGCTACACGACTATGTCGTTTGGGCTCAAGCAACGCCGGGCTACCTACCAACGCTATACAGCCCTGCCTCAAAGATTTAGATAAAAGACGACCTCGTCGAGGCTTATGTTGATGATGTAGTTGTCAAAACCAAGAAAGCACATACCCTTGTTGACAACACGAACGCACCTTTGCACCCCCTTAACACATTCCAATGGAAATTAAATCCAAAGAAGTGCATCTTTGGTGTTCCTTCCGCATACTACTTGGCAACGTTAAATGTCGATCCACGACGGCATACGCCCCTAACCCGAGAAAGTCAAAGCTGTCTTGGACATGAAGCCGCCCAAAAGGTGAAGGATGTTCAAAAGCTTACGGGTGCATGGCAGCTCTCACCGTTTCATATCAAGATTAGGCGAAAAAGGATTACCGTTCTTTAAAGCGCTCAAAGCATCCGAGAAGTTTGAGTGGTCGGAGGAAGCGACGCGCCTTCACACACACCGAAAACAATACCTTCGTCACCTCCGGTCCTCACTTTGCTCCCGGAGAGAGGACGAAACACTCTGCTTTACATTGCGGCGACTAATCGAGTGGTCTCCACTCGCCATGGTGGTCGAAAGCGACGAGCCCGCCACGCTCTACAAGGTACAGCGACCAATTTATTTCATCAGTGAGGTACTCAATGAATCCAAGACCAGGTACCCACAGATTCAGAAATTGATCTACGCCATACTGATAACATCCCGAAAGTTGAAACATTACTTCGACGGATATCGTGTGGTGGTCGTGACTGAGTACTCTCTGCGAGACATCATTAGCAACAAGGATGCGAACGGGCGCATCGTCAAATGGGCAATGGAGCTATGCCCCTTCTCCTTGGAATTTGCAAGCCGTACTACAATCAAGTCTCAGGCACTCGTCGATTTCATCGTCGAGTGGACAGACTTAAGCACGCCTGCTTCTCAGGGGCCCGACGAGTATTGGAAGATGTACTTCGACGGCTCTCTCAACATCGACGGCGCAGGAGCAGGAGTCCTTTTCGTGTCACCATCCAAGGAGCAGCTCCGGTATGTCCTCAGGATTTATTTTCAAGCAACCATGAAGCTAGGAACTGATTCAAGAAATAGGAGACATGTTCAAGCAAATTCATGGCATCATGATCAATAAATCGACAATTCACCAAACATCCATGTTTACAGCTCAGAATCTTCTGTCATGGAACTGAAAAAATTTTCAGACGATGGGAATTAGTTGCTGTTTCTCTAGGATAGCAAAACCTAAAAGTCCTCTTGAAGCACTTTGACCAAAGCTTCAGGAAGCAACTTCTACCCTCATCAGGTGCTTTATGTGTTCAGTTGAAGCACGAGGCATATGTTTGAATAAATCACAGGATTGTTTAATTATAGCATAGGTGCAGATACACATATCTGTCCTATAGCATATTAAGTTTATCAACTGGAATGGATACACACAAGCAGCACGAGAAGTATTAGATTTGGAGGGCTTGAAGTAGTAGTGTGTCAATCAGACCAACGCCCAAATTGAGGTGAAATCGAGCTGTTTGCTTCCCCACAAATTTCAACTCTTAACATTAACGTCAGATCTTAGTGCCTACTACTACACAATTGAGGATGAATTCACAATTGAGGCTGGAAAGGAGACAAATCACATTGTGGTACCACAGATCTTACTGCCTACTACTACACAAATGAGAATGGGAATTCCGAATATAAACCTTCAGTATCAGCAGCATGTCATGTCAAAGTGCAGGTCATTGATGTCCGCTTTTTCATCGTGCTTTGCTTTGGAGAACACCTGAATGTGATGGCAAAGCTAAGCTCACAAGCAAAACTATTTCTAAGCGGAGGACTGATGAACCAGAGTAGCAATTTCAGAAAATAGGTGCTCAAACAATGCGGAGGACTTACTGCTGTGCGACGGGCTAGGGCGGGTGTCGGGGTCAGCGTCGCGGCCGACGTCGGCGATTAGGACTGCAGCGGGGCGATTACGAGCGGAGTGAAGCGATTAGTTGCTAATCTGACGATAACATCTGGGTCTTTTTAGTTGCAGAGATTCCTTCAATTGTTCCCAGCCTGGCGCGGTACCTAGATAAATTTCTTGAACAGTAGCACTACTTTCACAGGGCAATGATTATATTTAAAACAAAAATGCCAAAGGGTGCCTAGCTCAAACGGTTAGGTAACCCAGCGGCACTCCTCAGGTCCTGGGTTCGACTCTCCGTGGGAGTGGATTTTAGGCTGAGGTTAAAAAAATCCCCTCGCCCGTCCCCATGTGCCAAAGCGTAGTGGAAGGCCCCGGCCCGGTTCTCACAGGGTGATGGCACCTCCTGCGTCAGGATGGGGGCGGAGGTTCGGGAGTTTTCTCGATCTGTATGAGAAGATCCTTCTTCTTAACGGAAAATCCGGGGGCCATCATAACCCCCGCAGGTCGAATTATATTTAAAACAAAATAACCGGTTCATTAACCCGTGTTCTTGTTGGGGTTATTAATTTTATGGTGCATACATAATTTATTGCTAGAATAGTACTCCCTTGGTCCTTTAAAAACACAATTTTCGCTTCACAGAAGTTAAATAATTTCAAGCTCAATCAAATTCACACAAATAATATTAACATTTATAATAATTTATAAGCATCAATAGATTAATTATAAAATGTATTTTTATAGTAAACATATTTAAGACATAATCACATAATGTTGATATTATTTTATATGTTTGGGTGTTCACGATGTTTGGTTACGCGCAGAGAGCATGTAGCAATAGAAATTCTCCTGCCAAGCGCTCATACGTGCATCACAGCGACCAGGATCCAAGGAAACAAAGAAAATTTCTATACCCGGTTAGCTAGGTTGAGAGGTACCTCATGTGCAATCGTGCGCATCCAGCGAGCCAGGCCTGTGGAAAACGGAACTGTACTCGTTTCTTATAAGCCACGCTAAAAGAACTCTTGTATCCTTCAAGATAAGAATCTTTGTCTAGGCAATCAAATAACTGAAAGTTACATCCCGTGGCCTTATACAGGCAACCAAAGAGGCTAAAATTATTATTATGTGTTTTCCTGACCTGGCTCATATAAAGGAGCCTACGTGTCTTGTTTGGTTTCTTGTCTCAGGCCTCGTTCATTTCGTTGAAAAAACAAGCTGAAGCACGGTTCCAGCTGATTTGTTGTGAGAGAAAAATACTATTTCGGCTAAAAAAAACAAGCTGAAAAGTACGGAATATAAGAGAAGCAAACGGGGCTGACTAATATGTCTACGTATTGACGTTGACTAATATGTCTACGTATTGACGTTGTTTGGGCATGCAGCAATAGAAATTTCTCCTATCAGGTACTCATGCATGCATCACAACGACCAGGCTCCAAGGAAACAAACAAAGTTTATGTATTCGTTCAGCAGCCTGAGAGGTATCTTATGCGCCATTGTAGGCCTGGCCTGATTGCTAAGAATAACTTTAAGAGACTCTTTACACCCTTATGTATTTATAGAAATATATATTCTAGTGACAAAAAAACTTACAACAATTTTTCAATTAGATCTTTAAATATTGGCATCCTATATTTTGTATTTCTCGCTAGCCAAAGTTGAAGAACGAAGCTGTCTTTTTTTTCTCGAATACGCAAAAGATTTGTGCTTTTTTTAATTAAGTATGAGAATGTTTTACACAACGCGCCATAAGGCGTGCTAAGGAGGACAAAAATTTTACATTTAAGTGTACCCTCCCCAGCGAGGGATTGCTAAGAACGAAGCTGGCTTTCTAAATTTTACATTTAAGCGTAGCCTCCTAAGGGAAGGATTGCTAAGAACGAAGTTGGCTTTCTAAAGTGTGCATGGGAATATGTTGAATGGTGAAAAAAATATAGAGGACGATATTTATTTAAATAGATCTCTAATTAACGATTTAGTCTGAGTGAGTTTGAGAAAAGCTATTGGATATAATATCAATCGATCAAACATCGTGCGTATGCATGCAGGGAACCAATCAGCAACCAAAGGCAGGAGAGGACCCGGATGAGCAAAGTGGTGTGTTCATGCAGTCCTTGCGCGAGAGCCCGTGGCGGCTGTGCCCCATGGCCTCTTCGAAACTATCTCCAACAATATGGTGAAATGGCCTAATTGTTGCTGACGGTGCAAATTCACACCCAAACCGCAAATTAAGAATGAAAACAAACAGGGACCCAAAGCTGTCAATTCAATAATAAACTAGTATATATAAGACACAATTATGCCCCCATCATGTTTTAGGTTCGCAGAGTTGCACCGGTAACCGAAAGGACGAACAAAGATTCCTCGGTCACGTTCGCTCCGCTGAAAAGTCAGGCTAAAAAATATTGTTGGCTAATTTATTATAAGAGAAAAATATTTTTACTTTACTAAAAAAGTACGGCTGATAAGCAACAGGAAAGCACAGTTGCACAAAGGGAAATCACCCATAGGCCACAGGTTCCAGTCCCTTTGGTCCGACGACGGACACCTGTTCCAATCCCCCGAGCAGGCGAGCAGTGTATGTGCACGTGCATCCCCATGCATGCAACCCCGCAACCAGAAGAGGAGGGGAAGAGCCAACACAAGCGAGGAAGAAGAGCAGCTCGACTCAAAACAAATGGATACCGGTTTCACATGTGCATGTACGGACCCGTTGGAGTAGTACGAACCCAATAAGTCGCACAAATCTGAAAGCACAATCAATGGCCTATAATTTGACAGATTTCCACACCAAAAATCAGTCGATATACAAATAGCAAAATTCTTATTGTTATGGTAGAAGCCTCAAGCAAAATACATTTTGTTATATATGGCCGGTGGACCCAAAGCATATAAACCAAACCATGAAACCAAGCACCCACTTTTGAGGGTTTTTTTTCCCAGTTTGCACATATTTCTCCCTCGCATCGCCTCGTCACATGACTCACATCTCGGACCCTGCAACCTCACCTCCCTTCAAAACCAGCGCCTTGCACTTCTCCGTGGCGCCGGCGCGCGCAAACTGCACGAACTCGTCCAGGTTCCGGTCAGAGCTGTCGCCTGGTGCCACCGCCGCGCGAGCCATGTCCCTCCATTTCCTCGCCGCCTCGCCGTCGTCCATAACGGCGCGCACGCACCGCTCCACTTCCCCGTGCAGGAACATTCCCGCGCCGGCGTCGTGGCGCGCGCGCACGCCGGCGCCCCAGGCGAGCTCGACGTTCCGAGCGTTAGTCGGCTGGTCCGTCCACAGCGCCATCGCCACCATGGGCACGCCGTAGCTGAGCGCCTCCAGCGTGGAGTTCCAGCCGCAGTGGGTTACGAAGCAGCCCACGGCCGGGTGCGCCAGCACGTCCAGGTGCGGGCACCAGGGCACGACCATCGCGGCGCCCGACGCCGTCGCGTCGTCCAGGAGGTGGCGCGGAACCTGTTGCTCGTCGGTGGCCCTCACCACCCACAGGAAAGGCTTGCCGGCGGCGAGGAGGCCGCGAGCGAGCTCCTCCGTCTGGGCAGCGTCGAGGGACGCGAAGCTGCCGAAGGAGACGTAGGCCACGGAGCAGTGGGGCTTGGTGTCTAGCCACTTGATGCACGAGTCCTCCGGGTTCACCAGGTTGGCGCCGTAGGTGATCCGGCGGCCAGTGGCGCCGGTCGTTTCAGCGGCGGGCAGCGGCACGCACGGACCGATGGCTCGGGCCTTCAGGTAGTTTGTCAGTCCAGCCAAAACCTTGGCACATGAACAAGTGGTCAAGAATTCGAGATCCTTAGTCCATTTCAAAGAACTGAACTGATTAAACGAAATCTTCCAATTCGTGATTAACACTAACCTCGCTTTCCAGATCTTCGTACGAGTTGAACAGCACCCAATCATCCTTTCCCTCATGAGCGAACTGTTTCGGCGCTTGCTTGGCGATCGTCGGATACGGCCCATGGTCGAACACGAACGACAGGAACTCTGACCTCTCCATCTCCGGCAGGCCCAGGAACGCCTCGCTCCGGGCGGCACCACCGTCGCCGTCCACGGCCACCGGCGGCGGCACGGCGAGCCTCCCCTGGCTGAAGTGGTAGTACACGGCGCTGACCGCGCACGACTGCGAGGAGAAAGGGACGGCGGGCAGGCCCATCCGCCGCGCCACGGGCGGCACCCAGTCCTCGTACGAGTCGTACACGACGCACGTGAAGGGGTCCGCCGCCGACGCGCGCGCCTCGATGAGCGACGCGCCTGCTTCTCCAGGTACTCGTCGACGCCCGCGGCCGACGCGAACCCTCCCTCGTCGTGGCCATCGGAGATGGCCTCGACCATCACCGGGTGCGCGTCCACGCCGGCAGTCCTCTGGATGAAGCGGGTGGTGACGAGCGTGGTGGCCACGCCCTTGGACGCCAGCCTCTTGGCGAACTGTACCATGGGGTTCATGTGTCCCTGGGCGGGGAAGGGCACGATGAGGACATGCGCCGCCATGGTTGTTTCTTATTGCTCTCTTGCAACAATGGAGAGGTGGAGTTCCAAGAGCAATGTTGCAGGTTGCAATGTTACCTGGGGATATATGTCAGATCAGAGATACCTTGCCGAACATGTGACGGCCGGCAAACTCGCTGGATGCGTTTCCCAGTTATACGTACAAGCTTGATCTAGCGACACCTTTTTCAGTGCTGGTATACACCATGGAAGTCTTCAGCCTGTTCGGGAGGCCGTATCGTATCGTGGATTATTTACTGCTGGCTGGTTTGGTGTGAGAGAAAAACACTGTTCCCGGCTGGAAATTTACGATCGTTTACGAGCAAGCGAACAGGCCAATGCTCGCCTTCGGCTACGGGAAATGCATGAGGAGGGTCCCATTTGTAACTGATCTGGATTCATATGTGCATATGCCATGGAAATTTTGAATTTAACTTAGTAATGTACCAGTAGATGAATTACACATTTGCCCGTTTGTTTCGAAGACAAAGATTACTTTATTTTTATTTTGAAACAGCAGCCCAGTTTGTCTCAAAAAGCAGTGACGACATTTCAGTGGCATGGCAATCTAGATAATATGGAACCTATGGAAAGAACGGAACCAAGGATGTTTTAAAATAGTTTTCAATCAGCTCTACGGGTGGCCCCGAGAGCCAAAGATGACATCAACCAACGAAAGAGGGTGTTTCATTCGAGCATTTGATTTTCGTTGTTGTGGCCCCTGTTTTTCTTCTCTTGGTTCTTTAGGCTCAATTTTTTCATACCCTCGTATCAGTTCTGGGGAAATGTGTTGCTAGATCCCTTTGAGCTTTAGAATTAGCATGTAGTGTGTATTTTGAACTCTCTTTTATCTCTTAATTAAAAGGCAAAGCTCCTATTAGTTTTTTAAAAAAAGACCAACACTACACAACCTAACTCCTAGCCGTATGGACTAGGGACTCTAACTTTGTCTTTCTCGCTTGGATCCAAAGCTGAACTTTGGAGTTGATTCTAGCCAGCAGATCTGTGACAGAGGTGACCTCAAGATTGAACAATCTCGTGTTCTGTTCTTTCCAAAAAAAAAACAAGTGATCAAGGCAAACAGTTAGTCAAATCCTTTCCTGAAAGGGCCTGTCCAATTGCTCCTCAGAGTTCGCCACTTGGAGGGAGTTACCTTGGTTCGTTTGTTGGTCGAGAACAGACAACATTGAGAACCAAGCTTGGGCAGAGAAGAAACAGGCAATGAACAAATTGAATATGCACTCACTAGTTTCCAATTCTTTGTCGCATGGAAGGCAATTATGACGTGTTTTCCAGACCATGGCGCAATCTCCTATTGACGGTCCAACAGGGACGGACCTACAGGGTATGCAGGGTGGGCCACCGCATACCCTGGGGTCCGCCAGTCATAGAGATAGGTAGAAATTTTCAATGTATAAAAAAAATTGCATAAGATTTTTTTTTGTTTACCGAATTGTATAAGAATTTTTTTTGCTGCGCATACCCAGAGGTAAAAACCTAGGTCCGTTACTGCGGTCCAATGGTGGCGTTTGAAACTTTGAATGCCAGCCATATAGGAATAACTTCACCCGCAATGGACTCCATGAATTCTAGTCTTCTAGATCAGTTTATGATCATTGGATTGAGTTGCACCCAAATGCAGTGCCTTGTAGGAGGAGCTCGCTGAATAAGTGTCATCGTTGGACGTCCAATGCCGAACCATGCGGTCCTCAATTCCCTCTTGCAACTGAGTTTGCTCTAAAGCTTCACAGAGCGAGAGGTATTCCATGAGTGCAAGAACCGAGAGGCCGCCAGTTATCAGTCATATAGTCTCCGGAAGCTATCATGTACTCCGATTGTACAATCTTTCGAGGTCACTCTCTCCCCTTGATTTGGGTGCGATGTTGCTAGTGTCATCTGCTCTCACTCCCCCTACTATGTCATAACTCTAGTGCATTGTGCATATGACGCGCCTATGCCTTGATCATGTACTGGTGGCCAAAAAAAACCACCACCCCCACGGCCCACCACACTTCACCTCTCTGACTATCTAAAATACTTCCTCTGTTTTAAATTATAGTTTATTTTGGCTTTTCGATATACATAATTGTTAATATGTATCTAGATACATGTTATGTCTAAATATATAATAAGGATTGTAAATCTAGAAAAGCTTAAATGACTTACAGAATGGATGAAGCAATAAAAAGAACAAAATATTTATCGTGGCAAGCAAATCATACATGAAGAAGGTTCCCTTATGGCTATACATGGGCATTCTTGATGATAGCTTTAAATTTAAACTATTGAAAGGGCCAGGCCTTCAATCAAAAGTTCAAAACGATATAAATGATAAATTAGATTCTAGATGCGACGGTGCATTTTGATCAGCAATACCCAAGAAACGAGCAAGACAAGCACCGTAGCAATGGATAGCAATGTTACATGGCAATGTTATCAATTAGTTGTGGATGAGCGGGAGATAAGGTTGGTGAGGAAGGCAACAAATGGGTAGGTTTAAGAGGCGACAATGCATTGTGGTACGGTGACGAAGCATTAACATGACATTGTTGTTCACAAAAGAGAGAAAATATTTAGGTCTATGTTAAATTTCAGATTAATGACATCGTTTCATGGGACAGTTTTATGAGGTCGGGACTTCACTGACCATAACAAATGCTTTTACCCATGAGTCAAATCATCACTGGAGAATGGAGATGGAGTCATGAGACTCCCTGGTTACTATGCCGTTTCTTCTATTTTTCCTCTCATTTGGGCTTCATGGTACGCTTAGACCCTGTTTGGATTCATTATCTGCTAATAGTTAGCTGGCGAATAGCTCATATCTAATATTAGCTAGCTAACTATTAGCTACCGATTATCTAGAGGATGTTTGGATGCACAACTAATAAAAAAATGCTACCACATGTAACACCCTAAAATTTTCTTCTTTGGAAATAGTGTAAAAATGATTTAATTATGAATTTTAGTGCTCATGAGAATATAGGAAAATAATATTTTCCATTAAATTAAAAATCAATATAGGATGTAGCAATAATCTTGTGCATACATGCTGGTGCATACAGTTTGTTGTAATGAGTTGTTTGACCCAAAACTCAAAATGATTCAAATTGCCTTTGAAAAGGTCTTGAAATAAAAGAAAAAAGGAAATAGGAAAAAACCTCTATCTTTGTTTTCAGCCCGAGAAGCCCACCTCCCTCTCTCTGTTTTTTTTTTCAGCCACAGGCCCATCTCAGCCTTTCCTTCCCCCTCCACCCCGCAGGCCCAGAGCGCCACCAGCGGCCCAGCAGCAAGCCAAGACTGAGCCTGCGTGGGCAACTCCCCTCCCTCTCTATCTCTCTGACCGCCTGTACCCGCTCCCTCTCTCACCGCCAGACGGGACCCACCTGACAGGCCTCTCCTACCTCGCGTCGTGTCCTAGCAGGACACTGAGGCGATGGCGACGCTGCCCAATCCCGTGTTTTCTCGAGATTTCAAATGGGGGATCACGCCAAGGCACCCTATAAAGCCCGAGGATCTCCTACCATGCCCTTTTTCCATCTATACGTGTCGCCGCTCCGCCCTAGCGTGCTCTGCCACCTGCTTTCGGATCTCGCCAAGAACGAGGGATGCCCACCGCTGCTGTTGCCGCCGTCTGAAGCCTCGACGCCATTCGCGATCTGTTGCCGAGTCCCGCATCAATGTGACGAATCTGCAGGCGCTTTTCTTCCTCTCTTTCTCACTCTACAATCCTCACACATGGTCGTCGTTGTTCGCAGCAAGGTCGCCGTGTCACAAACAGGCCTCCGGCTATGCTTAGATATTGGCTACACTAGTTGTACCGGCATGTAAGTCAGCCTGCGAGCCGCAAGGGTGTATCTACTGGGCTTGGCCCATTTCTTTCGTTGCTCTGAACTTAAACTCGCTGTGTGAGAGGATGGGTGGACAGCGAACGATAAACCTAAAATTCCCCAACTCTTCCTCCTCCTCGTGCTCTCTTGCTTCAGAGGCGGCGCCACCGTGCTCCTCGTCGTGCGAGTACGCCGGCAAAACCTTCTAGTTACCACCGGATCGTGACATTTGGTATCATAGAGCCAGTCCGATTCGTCCTTGTTCGATCCGTAAAATCCCATGTAGTTTCATCGTGGTTGGATCTAGCCGGTGTTCGATTGAATTCGATTCCGCCACCTCAATCCGTCCTCGACCGAGTTCGTCAGCTTCCACCACCACCTCCCCAACCTCCACCTATTCTGCTGGCGAGAGGACCTACCCTTACTACCCGCATGACCACCGCCGAGGAGAAGTTGGACGCGCAGATGAAGTCCATTCTCCAGCTCATGGAGACCTTCAATCGTTGGCGCCCGACATCAACAACGTCGCCATTGCCCTCAGCAAGGACCTCAAGGAGCTGACGTCGCGCGTCGAGGCATTGGAAGCAACTCCCAACAATGCTCCACCTTAGGCCCCGAAGCGCGAGGAAGAGGGGTGGGCCATTGTTGGCCACGGCGTTCATCCACCACCACAGGGGTCTGATGGAAAGGCCGCTGTCCTTCCTCAACCCCTGACCAATGGTTAGTTTATCGCCTCCACTTCTAATGTTGTCGTATCACCCGACATGGTTCCTTATTATCCTGTCCATACCCAGCGTGAATTCTATTTACCTAAGGCTGAGTTTCCCAAGTTTGATGGTTCACATCCTAAAGTGTCGAAGGAAAACGCTGAGAAGTATTTTGATATGTTCAATGTTCCCGTTCATCGTTGGGCTCCCTTTGCAACCCTTCATTTCAAAGGCATTGCTCAGTTGTGGCTACAAACTTATGAAGCCCAACATCGTGTTGATAACTGGTTGGAACTCTGTATTGCTGTAGATACTAAATTTGGCAAGGATTTGTATCATAACTCCATGCAGGAATTGCTTAGCATCAAACAAACTGCTGATGTGCAAAAATATTATGATAGATTTAATATAGCCATGCATAGGGTGTTAGTGCACAACAATCATCTAGATGATGTTTTCTTTGTTA